TATGCAAACTACCTACCCCAGGGCGGGTGTAGCTCTCACACCCATAATCAATCAAACCCTAAAAGCCTGCCCCATGACCGCATGAGGCTTTGGGGGACACCCAGACACAAACCATAACACCCTCCTTCCCTCCTGCCCCTTAGCATCCTCCCCGACCCTGCAGCTTTGCTGGAATAGGCTTCTTGTCGCTGATGCTGCTCCTCTGTTCTCCAGGAAGACAAGGCCGTCCTGAAGAACGCTGACCTTCCTGCCCGCATGAAGATGGCCGTCAAACTGCGGCTGGGGGAGAAGGAGATTCTAGAGAAAGCCGTGCAGAGCGCAGCCACCAACCGCAAGTGCTTCCGCAAGCACATGGAGGAGCGGGCGCCACTCCCCAAGTACGAGGAGAGTAACCTTGGGCTGCTGGAGGGCGGCGCGGGCGACTCACGGCTGCCCCTGGTCCTGAGAAACCTGGAGGAGGAGGCTGGGGTGCAGGAGGCCCTGAGCCTCAAGGAGGCCAGCAGCGCCGCGGAGCATGGGCTCGTCAACGGCGAGAACTCTATCCCTAATGGCACCGGGTCCGAAAATGAGAATTTGAATCCGGGAGAAAGCAAAAGAGTGATTGGAGACGCCAAAGAATCTTCAGACAGCACTGACAAAGCCAGAGAGCAGCTCTGAGCAGCCGCGGCAGCCGGAAGCCGGCTCAGCAGACATCGAGGAACGGTCCATCTCCATGCTGTGTTCTCGTTAACATTTTCTTTTCCGCAGAGAGGAAAATATGTTTTTGCTGCTTTATATACAAATGATTTTTTAAGTTATTTTAAAGATCTAGCTTTTTGATTAAGATTGCCATCTTGCTTCTAGGCAGAACACATGCACTGACAGCCACAGCCGAGGGGAAGGGGCGCCCTGGGAGGCTCTGCAGGCCCGAGGCACTGGTTCCTCCCTTGCTCAGCGGTGCCTCTGCAGGCCTGTGGCGCTGACAGCAGAGGTGGAGCCCCTCCGCCTCCTGAGCAGAGTGGGTGGGGACCCGCGGGTGTGCGCCGGAGAGCTAGGGGAGGCCAGCACGTGGCACCTAGAGTCCAGGCAGAGTCTTTGACTTTCCTCCCTAAAATAATGCCCTAGTACTGAGAGAAAACGTAAGGTGGCAACCTTATTTTTAATAGTTTTAAATGTTGACGATAATCCTAATTATATAAATATATATGCACATATATATCTAGTGATTTCTAAAGATTTGTTTACTTTCTGTGTTTCGTTTCACTGTATTAAGAACGTGCCCTTCCTCCTCGAATCAAAGTAGGACATGCGGCCCCTCCTGACCTGCAGCGCTGGCTCTGACCAGAGGCAGCGCTTGGTTCGCGGGCGGTGCCGAGCGTGTGCAGAGCGCGGTGGCCCCCCAGCTTCCCTGCTGGTGTTCGGAGTGAGATGGCTCCCTGGCTCTTCCGGTTTTCACAGCAAGCTAGAGGTTTTCCAAGCTCTCCTTTTGAGTAAAACCCTTATTAAAAGGAAAACATGATTAATATTTTCGTCTGTTCCTTTTCTTTGGAGTGGGACAGGCCTTCCGATGTAAATGTCTTACTAACTCCCTGAGCATTTTTGAACCCTGAGCTCGAGCTCTGGCCACTGCCCACCCTTGGTGCAGAGCGCACAGAGCCCTGGCCACGCCCTTCGTCAGCGTTCTGGAGGCTCAGTGTGGCCGCAGGCGGCTGGACCGCCCTCGAGAGGGGCGGGGACCCTCGGCTTGCAGGTGGGGCCGGGTGGAGTGGGCGGCAGCCGTGCCTCGGGAGCCTCTGCTTTTCAGGCTGAGGATCCCTGGTTTCCTCAACCACACGTTTTCACATGGTCTGATGTCCTGAGTGCTTAGTTTCTAAAGCTGAGTAAGCTGCCTGTTCGTCGGCATGAGTGCTGCTGTGAACAGGTGGTCTCCGCAGCTTCCACGGAAGCCGCAGTGCGGCGACAGATGGCCGGTTCCCTGCTGAGGGCGTGGACGGTGCTCAGAGATACGGCCTTTTTTTGGCCAGCAGGGCACGCCTGCCTGCTGCACTGTGCTCAGAGCGGGCTTTATCCCTGCTGTGGGCGCCTGCCACTCCCTGTCTGCTCTGTGCGCGTGTGAACGCGCTAGGAGAAGCGTTGGTGGCCAGCGCGCCTGTGCCCTGCACATCCACCGGAAACGCGAGGCCGCGTGTGTGCCGCTCGTGTCTGCGGCAGTGGGCCCGAGGTGTTTCCTAGACCGGCACCACGTAAACCAGGAGCAGGAGGCCAGGTCATCTTCAAGCTGTGCCCCACAGAAGGCCCGAGGCGCTGAGGAACAGGGTCCCAAGGCCCAGTCCTGATCCCACTCGGAGGTGGTGATGTCTATTCTCAGGGCCTCGGTGTCCTCATTTCCTTGTAGAACAGACCTAGGTTATCAGAAAGCTGCTTAAAATCTCAGATACCAGCCCGTGTGCTGGCATAGGGCTGTAATCCCAGGACCCTGGGAGGCTGAGGCAGTAAGATGGCAGTTTCCAGACCAGACTAGGCAACTTAAGCCACCTAAAAAAGAGGTGGGATGGGGTGTGCAGCTCAGCGTGGGGGCCTGGCTTCAGTCCTCAGTAAAGAAGAGGTAAAAAAACCTTAGAGATTGTCCTCCACTAGCTAAGCCTAGGTGTGTGTCATTGGACCATGGAGTGACTGTAGAAGTTGGGCTTCCAGCAGCTTAAGCGTGTGGAATTTGAGGGAAAGTGGTTAAGCTGGCATTGGTGAGTCCCCGCTGTGTGTCAGAACAGGCCTTGCCCTCGTCTCAAGCCTGCTTTCTCCCGGGTGCTCCGGGGTGAGAGGCTGCTGAGGCCAGTTGCTGGGAGAGGAGCCGCTCTCCACACCCCTCCTTGAACACTTCAGATCCCTCCCAGCTGGAGAAACCACCCAGTTCTTCCCCAAGCGGGCAGTGCACAGGTGATTTTCCTCCCCGTAGTTTCTAGAACAGGCTCACAGGAAGATGTGTTTAATTTTTCTGTTGAGAGGTGGGGTAATACATTTAAAATAGTCCCAGGTTCCCAATATACAGGGTCATGCTAAATTAAACTTTCAAAATGAGAGAATCAATTTCCTGTAAATATCAGTTACGCATTTTTTGATGGTTAGGTTCATATGCACAGGGAAAAGAATAAGGAAGCCCAGCCGGAGGAGAGGGGCAGGACTGGACAGCAGGGACAGAGTATAGCCGGGGGCGGGGGCGGGTCCTGCAGGGTGGAGCTCCCCCGTGCTCCGCAGAGAGGTGCTTCTGTAGGACGCATCACACTGCGCTGCTGTTACTGGTCCTGCACAGCAAGCGCGTTTCCTAGAGTATAACTGATAGCCTGACCCAAGAATTCAACTCACTTCTATTTAAATGTCAGTACGAGATGGGTGTAGAGTAGAATCCAGTAACCTCATTAAGGGTCACCCTACTATTTTAATCAGCAGCACCTCATATAATGTATTCCTAAAGTTCTGTGTAAATTGAATTTGAGTAACTTGAATTGTATTTAAATGCACCAGCAGATTTGTTATTGAAATGAATCTGCCCTGTTGGACCTGAGTACACGGGGCCTGGCAGAAGAAGCCTTTGAGGGACGTGTTCTCCGGTCACTGCCTATAGCCGAAGGAAGGAGGGAACAACCTACTCCTCCTCCACAGAGGGCGAAGCAGGGCACAGGGCAAGGCTGGGAGCAGGGAGGAGCTGGCACCCTGGTGTCCGTGCTAACTCTGGAGCTTCCAGCCTAGTAACTCCCATCAGGTCGGCTTTCCTAGGCCCGGCCCCCTCCCAAGGCAGGGTGTGGGTGCTCTCTCCCTGCCCTGCCTGCTGGTTAACTGGGAGCAGAGGCCTTGTTAGCCACACTCGTGCGCCTGGTGCGAGGCTGGGTTTGTGGGTCACCCGGGGACTCGCAGGCGCCTTCTTGGCCTTGAGGTGCTGACGTGGACGTGTGCAGAAGCACCCGCGGCCCCCAGTGCTCTGCTTCAGGCCCTGTGGGGCGGTGGCGTGGGACTGGGTGCCTGAGGAGGACCGTGTGGGCCGGGCCGGGTGTGCACAGGACCGACCTGCCGCAGCGACTGGAGCCCAGGCAGAGCTCGTGTGGACTCGTTCTGCTCCTCAAGAGGAATCGGTGGTGGCCCCCTGGCGGCTTTGGAGACAAGGCAGTGCAGTTAGGAACAGTGACTAAGTAGTCACAGCAACTCTGGCTCCTGGTTCTAATGGCCTCTGAATATCCTCTTTCTCTTTTGGGCCACTGTTCTTGACCCAGACTCAGGTGTGTGTATATTCTGTTTATATGAATACAAATATGTACACACACACACACACACACACATACATATAAAACTTTCTCTTCTTTTTTTTTTGGTACCGGGAATTGAACTCAGGACCTTGTGCTTGCCAGGCAGGCGTTTATGCTGCTGAACTATATTCCGGCCCCAAAACTTTCTCAAAACTCCTAGTCTGCTTCCAGCACCAGAGACGCTTGTCAGCATCACATAGCCCACACTCCATAACAACCACCCGGCGCCGTGGCCATCGGGGGCTCTGCAGCCCCGCCTGGCTCCCACTTGGCTGCAGGGCCTAGGAGCCTCAGGCGCATAGCAAGCGCAGCTCAGGCCCCACGACTGACTGAACAGTCACTGCCCTGGTGGCCTGGCCAGGACGACCAGGGCGGTTACCACATGGTGCCACTCCCGCAGGGGGTCGGGGACATCACCCTCTCCTTCCTTTCTCCTCTGTGAGTCCCTTCTCAGCTTCCTGTTTCTCCCTGATGGTTTCCAGCTCTGCAGGAGCACCGCAGACGAAGGCAGCCTGTGGACTGGACCTCCGACTTCCGTCTCCAGGCTAACTTGGTGCAGTTCTGGGGCAGCTGCATTGAGGTGCTGGGGAGTTCTGCCCAAATCTCCCCATTTCAGCAGGACTCCCAGCTGCAGGGGAAGTGAATGCTGGGACCTGGGACGAGGAGCCAGCTTCCAGACAGGAGGAAGGCCCTGAGCCGCACCCTTCACGCTGTCTGCGGCCCTGAGTGTGTTCCTTGGTGCCCAGGACTTAGCTTCCTTCTTGCAAAGCCGAATTGCCATCTGAGGCTGTGGGGCCAGGAGCTGGGTGTTTCTCGGACGCAAGTGTCCTCGCAGGGTGCCTGGAGCACGGCTGGTGCCCTGCAGCTTGTTGCCGTGGTGGTTGAGTGAACAACTGAAAGTGTCAAACCCACCACCCGTTGCTACCCAGCTTGGCCTTGGCAGGTATCCCAAGTGGGAAATACTTCATTTACTTTATGCAGCTGCATTACGAATACTTCAGTGTGAACAAGCCACAGCCACCTCTGAAGTGGTTGGGTGTAGGTTTTCAGGTAAATCTTACAGGTGACTCGAAACAAACCCTGCCCAGTGTCCATACAGTGATGTGACAGCGTGACAAGGGACAGCGGTTAGAGCACTGTGCACCTCCGCAGGCCTAACTTTAGAAATAATATGCTAGCTGGCACCAGAACGTGTGGTCAGGGAGTCCTAACGTGCATCTGGAGAAACAGTTACTTCTACCTCATACACAAACTGAAAGAGAAAGTTTATTACATTTTGGCCACTGGCAGTTGTCAAAATAGCGAGCTTCAGGCTTGTGTTATCTAATGATGTAAGGGCTGACATCGTTCAGACTGTGGTATAATTTCTGTTAGGAAGTTAGTTTGGTCACAGGCCGGGGAGGCAGCTCAGTGGCAGAGCACTTGCCCGGCATGCATGAGGCCCCGGGCTCCACCCACAGGAACCGGAAAAACAATTGTCGTTCCACACTGAGGCCTTTAAGGGCCAGGATGAGTGCAGTTGGAAGCTGTGTAAGAAATGTGGGATTTGATCACCCGCTCTGCTGTCCTGTGCTGAATTCAGCCTGGATTGCTGTGAGGTTGCAGGATGGCGTCCGTCCCTCCTCGCTACCCTCTTCCTCAAAATCAGGCACTGGAGTAGAAGCCCTGGCATCGCTGGAGCCTCAGCCTGAGCTGACCAAGGTGGAAGCTCACATCAAGCCCCCACAGCGTTACTTTTCCAGGCTGGGGCTGCGGGGGCGGCAGCGGCCTTGTACGGAAGCGTGCTTCTGGCTGAAGGTTAGCCACCCTAGTCATGCCAAGCTGGTCTTCTCTGAAGCTCAGGTCCTGGAGACTGAAGGATCGCTGTGGGCACCCAGCGGCTATGGGCAGCTGCCCACTCACAGGTACCGTCCCTAAGCCAGCCAGCGGGGAGGGGAGACTCAAGCGTTCCCTCAAGCAGCCTTGTCCGAGGTTTATCTTCCTTAATGTGCTTGGGTCATGATGTCTACTGATGTTGCTGGGTATCTGATGCAAACCGGGCACTGCTGGGCTCTGAGCTGCAACCACAGCGCGGCAGGGCTGATTGTCACAAGGAGCTGAGGGAAGGGAATCCCTCCCGATACCCCAAGCGGGGGAGGCCTCTGGGAAGTGCCACCCGTGATGGATGGGTCTAAATTATGTTCTGTTTTTCTGTTCTGAATGGAAAACAGTCTGGACAGGACTTGTGTTC